GGGTCTTAAGCGGCGGAAAGGCGCAGGGTGGCTGCGGGCTGAGAGAGGAAAGGGGCATCTGTAGGCGTGGGGGCGAGCACAGGGCTGGATGCGGTTGTGCCACTTGTGGGAAGAGGGGTCCCCACTTAGCGGCAGCTGCTTCCTTTCACGTCTTAGGCACCCAGACCCGCTCCACGCACGCACGCACCTCTGCTCCAACCGGTCCAAGCGAAGGGGCGCCTTAATCAATGTTTTGGAATCAGAATCCTAGCGCCACAGGTCTCACTGGAAAAGGAGCCCCCCTTCCTTCCCCGTCCCCCGCCAGCCTCCCCTCCGACCCGCTTCCTTCCCCCCTACCCAGCTTCCCCTCCGACCCGCTTCCTCCCCTCCAACCCAGCCTCCAACCCAGCCTCACCTCGGGACTTGGCGGGATCCCTCCAGGGCGGGTGTGGCGCTGTCCAGCTGCCGGTGCTGAAGGTGGAGACCCGCGGTGGTGGAGGGGACCTGGGACCCCGGGATTCATACCCTTTGGGGTCGGACCCCAGAGACGTTTTGTCCACCTTGGAAAAGGGAGACTGGGCTTCAGGGCATGTCCCCACAGAGGCGCGTTTTCAGCCCAATCAGTCTCAGTGCCACCCCCCTCTGCTCCCCTCCCGGAGTTCGGAGAATTATTTGCTGCAGTGGCCGAGAGAGTAGGGAAGCGCTTAGCTTTGGGATGCTTCCTCAGAGACCTACCGGCACTTTCTGCCTTCTCTCCGCGTGTCTCGGAGGGGAGTTCTGGACTCTGGGGGGGCTTCATGTGCATGGTGGACAAGGTGGGGAGCTGAGGCGCCCCCCACCCCTTTCTGTATGCAACAGGTCTGCTTGCCTGGGGCTCTGGAGGGCTTCCGGAGGGAATCGCCTGCATCCTCGGAACCCACTCACCTCGGAGGGGAGGCGCAGAGCCGGGGTGAGAACTAGCTGAGCTGAGCCCCCCACCCCACCCCCAGTCCTGTGCTGGCTTCCTGCCTCCTGAACCTGACCCCGGAGGCCAGCTCTCTGCTTCCCGCTCCCTCCCACCAGCCTACCCGCAACCAGTTCTGCCTCCGATTTCTCCTCCGGTCCCTCCTCACACTGGGCCTGGTCATCCTGGCTGGATTTGGAATTTTACCTGGCAGGGGTCTCAGATCTGTGAGACGGACGCTATTCCGCTGGCTCCCTTGTCCCTCCCCCCCTCCCCCCGCCCCCGCAATACACATCCCCCCCACGAGCTGTAGATCAGGTTGGGGGAGGGGAGGGCAGGGTTTGGGGCAGTATCTGTGAAGGCCCCCACACTTGCCTCTCTGATCCATCCTGGAGTCTGAAGGGAAGTGGAGTAGTGCGGAGGTGATCTAGGCTGCTGGCCAGCAGGGAGCAGATGCTTTAAAGGCCACAGGTGGCCTGTCAGGGCCACGGACGTCCATGACGTCACCCGAAGGGAAGGCGAGGGGGGAGACCCGCTTCATATCAAGGCCCCCCGTGGCCATGGTAACGGCTCCCTGCTGGTCCTGGCTCTGCTGCCTGGGAGGACACCTGCGGCCACTCTCCAGGAGGACAAGCGGGAGGATGGGGGGGAGGGGCCCCCCTGCGCAGAGCCCATGGTGTCCCTGCTGAGCAGAGCTGGCCCACCCCATACTCCTCTAGTGCCAGACCTCAAGAAGACTGGAGGGAGGTGATGACCCCCAGAAACCTGCCTCATAGTTTCCACATCCCCCCACCCATACTGTCTGCTTCTCCCTGAATTCCAGGATGTGAGCCCCCCTCCACTTCTGGATCACCTCCCTCCGCCACTGCCACTGCCACGTTTGCCTCTAGGATTTTGTAGAGGCTGGGTTGGGGTCTGTGGAAGGTCCAAAGTGCTGTTCGTGCTCTCAGGGTTTTAGAACATGGAAGTAGTGGGTGAGGGGTGGGACTCAGTGATAGATCATGGGCCCTGGGTTCCGTCCCTGAGACCACACACACACACACACACACACACACACACACACACATACACACACTTACTTGGAAGTACCTGTCCAAAGATGGAACGTATGTTGAAATCCTCGTGTTGCTGGAATACTAGACTGATGCCACCGACAAGGAGAGGGCTGGACCGCAGCAACCCGTGTCCCTCTGCTCCCCAGCAGCCCCAAAGCTATTTACTGTCAATCTTGGCCTTTGTTTAAGAATGCAGAGGCCTCTGCCTTGGTCTCCTCCTCCCTGGCTTGCCGGCGAATGGCAGTGCCCAGAGCCTTCTCTTGGGCCAAAATATTTGCTTCACTGCTGGCTGGTCAGAGCCTTGCAGGTCCAGCCTTGGGCAGATCTCATGGCATCTGTGCCACCCACATCCGGGCAGCGCGGAGCAGGTGATCTCCTGATTGATCAGCTGGGGGTTCTCCTTTCCACCTGCATATTTCGAAAGGTGGTTAGGGCCTTGTGCACAGCTGACCTCGATTTGACCCTCTACACTCCACATCATCCCTGAAGGAAAGAAGAAAAATGTCTCTATGTGTAGATGGTGGAGTCTTTCATATAGAACACTCTAGAAGCATGCAGACTATCAGTGAAAATAAATGTGCAACAAGTTTGCTACTGGTCAGAGCTGAAAGTGAAATTCAGAAAACATTCCAGACGGGAATAGAGCTCACGAGTGGAATTCTATCTGATATCTGCCATTTAGAAAAAAAAAAAATCAAGGCATGGCTCAAGCATCTGCTTTCAGGGGTAATTCCTGAAAGCCGAGTCAGAGTAAGTCCTGAGCACTGCTGAGGATGGCCCCAAACTCAAACAAATAACAAATAAATAAAAAAATAAAGCACCTGTAACAGAAGTCACCCCTGCGAGACAAGATGAATCTGATTTAGTCAAAATGAAAAATTTGGCTTTTAGGGTGAAGAGATAGTACAGAGGGGAGGGTGCTTGCCTTGCCCATGGCCAACCTGGGTTCAGTCAATTTCCAGCACCCATAGGGTCAACCGAGCCCACTAGGAGTCATCCCTGAGCACAGAGCCCCGCCCCCCCGGAATAAAAACACCCAAGAGGTACTTTTTTGATTCTGAGCGCAAGACTTCACCTCCCCGCCCCCAGCATCACGGGATCCAGGCTGCGCACATGCACCGGGGCCTCAAGGTCTGCAGACCCTGATGCACACGTGGGGCCCGGGCCGATGCAGGGACACTTGTCTGCATGTCCCCGTGCCCTCTCTCTTCAAAGTCGGTCCTCCCCGGCGCACTGCCTAGGCGGAGACAAAAGCAAACAGGTGGTTTCTCAAGAAATGACGCACCGGACCAGAGGCATACGACAGAGCTTCTGGCGGCGTTTCTGCAGGAGCAGAGCGGCGCGGGTCCGAGCCTCAGGTCAGGGCTGGAAAGCCCCCCCCCCCCCCCCCCCCGCCCGCCGCCGCGCGCCCTCCGGCCGCCAGGGCGCGCTCTCACCAGCCGGCGGCGCGCCGTCCCCGCGTCCCCCCGCTCGCTGCGCCGCGCTTCCGGTGGGCGCCGGAAGTGGGGCCGGGCAGCCGCGGGCCGGGCCGGGCCGAGGCATGGCGGGGGCGGGGCGCCCACCCTGGGAGTCCGACGCCGCAGGTGAGGCCTCCTCCCGCCGGGCGCGGCCCCCTGACCCCTCACCCCGCCGCGGGGGCGTCCGAGCGGCGGCCACGCCCCCGGGGGTCACCCGCGCGGCTGCGCGGTGGACGCGGACCGGCCCCCGCCCGGGACTGGAGGTCCGAGCCGTCCCGTCCACCTTGCGACCCCCAAGTCCAGCGCCGGGGCGAGGCCCGCGAGTCCTGGGAGTCGGGGGTCCCGCGCTGGCCGGGAGAGCGCGGGGGAGGGGTCCTGGCGCAGAGCCCCGCGTGCCCGGCGCGCCCCAGGGTGTGGTGGACGCGGCCAGCGGCGCCTGGAGCTGGGCAGCGCTGACGCTGAAACCGGCCGGGGCTTCCTCTGGGCAGGGGGCGGCCCCGGGCACCCCCAGGCACGTCGTCCTGGAGGAGAGGTGCGAGGCGGTGCTCAGGAGCCCCGCCTGGCACGGGTGCCCCCTCTGCCCCCCAGAGGAGCAGGGGTGAAAGTTGCGCTCCTGGGGCAGAAGCCGTAGGACAGCGGGGAGGGCGTTTGCCTTGCGCTTGGCCACCTGGGGGTGGGTCCTCAGCAGCCCATACGGTCCCTCGAGCACCGCCAGGAGTGACTAACCCCTGAGCATTGCTGGATGTGACCCCAAGACACACACACACACACACACACACACACACACACACCCCAAAACCAACCAAACAAGAGACAGCTATAATCCCTGGGAGCAGGGAGCTGTGGCATTTTTTTTTTCCTTTGTGGGTCACACCTGGCGATACACAGGAGTTAACACCTGGCTCTGCACTCAGGAGTTCCTCATGGCGGTGCTCAGGGGACCCTATGGGAGGCTGGGAATCGAACCCAGGTCGGCCACGTGCAAGGCAAACGCCCTCCCCGCTGTGCTGTCTCTCCAGCCCTGGAGCTGTGGCATTTTGGGGGAGCATCATTCAGAAAGGTGTTGAGGGCTCACTCCTGACTGCTTTCCTCAGCCAGTCTTGCCCGGGGCTCGGGAACCATATGGGGTGCTGGCGTGTATCGAACCCTGGTTGGTCATGTGCAAGACCTGTGCCCTACCCACTGTGCTATTGCTCCAGCCCTAACAAGCGCTTCTCCAATCTCGTTAGGGATCACACTGAGCCATAGGTTGAAGGTTTGGATTTCTTAGCATCCAAGTAAAATGTTTGGAAACATGATCGGATGTTGACTGCGACCCCTGCGTGGGCAGATCTGATGCAGTCCTGGCTTCATTCTGCTGACTGGTCCCGATTGACTTGGCTGTTTGCACAGCGGGCACTGCTCCTCAGACCTGACAGTCGGGGCCACTTCCAGCTCCTCTGGGGGAAGAGAAATGCTGGTTCTAAGCGCCCCCCGTCAAGGCTAGAGAAATGGGTGTCTCTGGGGTCTTGTGTGCTAGTTTGTTTTGGGGGGCTGTGCCCGGCAGTGTTCAGGGCTGACTCTTGGCTCTGCTCTGGGATCACTCCTGGTGGTGTTTGGGGGCCCATGTCGGGTGCTGAGCTAGAACCCGGCTCCGATGAATGCAAGGCATGCGCCCTCCCTGCTGTCCTCTCACTCTGGCCCATGGGGGTCTGGTCAGTTTGGCGCTGTTTCCCTGATGCTGCCTCCCTCCTGCCCAGCAATGTGACCATGGCCCAGCATGCGTCCACCATCAGGCCGCGCCGGATCCAGAACCAGAACGTCATTCACCGCCTGGAGCGCCGGCGCATCAGCTCGGGCCGCGCGGGCACCCACTGGCACCAGGTGCGGGTCCTGCACCAGAACGTCTTCCCCAACTTCACCGTGGTGAATGTGGAGAAGCCGCCCTGCTTCCTGCGCAAGTTCTCCCCCGACGGCCGCTACTTCATCGCCTTTTCTTCCGACCAGACGTCGCTGGAGATCTACGAGTACCAGGGCTGCCAGGCAGCTGAGGACCTGCTGCAGGGCTATGCCGGCGAGACCCTGGCCAACGGCGGTGCCGGCGACCCGCGCTCCGCGGGCGTGCGTGGGCGCCTCTTCGAGCGCTTCTTCGCGCTGCTGCACATCACCAGCGTGGCGGCCCACGGCGAGCACCTGAACCGGGAGTGCAGCCTCTTCACTGACGACTGCCGCTGCGTGATCGTGGGCTCGGCCGCCTACCTGCCGGATGAGCCGCACCCGCCCTTCCACGAGGTGTACCGCAACAGCGAGTCCGTCACGCCCAACCCGCGCTCCCCGCTCGAGGACTACTCGCTGCACATCGTGGACCTGCACTCGGGCCGCCTGTGCGACACCCGCACCTTCAAGTGCGACAAAGTGGTCCTGTCCCACAACCAGGGCCTCTACCTGTACAAGAACATCCTGGCCATCCTCTCGGTGCAGCAGCAGACCATCCACGTCTTCCAGGTGACGCCCGAGGGCACCTTCCTGGACGTGCGCACCATTGGCCACTTCTGCTACGAGGATGACCTGCTGGCCGTCTCGGCTGTCTTCCCCGAGGTGCGGCGAGACGGGCCGGCGGGCATGGCCGGCCCCTTCCGGGACCCCTTCATCAACTCCCTGAAGCACCGGCTACTGGTGTACCTGTGGCGCCGGGCCGAGCAGGACGGGAGCGCCATGGCCAAGCGGCGCTTCTTCCAGTATTTTGACCAGCTGCGGCAGCTGCGGATGTGGAAGATGCAGCTTCTGGACGAGAACCACCTGTTCATCAAGTACACGAGCGAGGACGTGGTCACACTGCGCGTCACCGACCCATCCCAGGTAGGTGGGCGCTGTGCCCGCTGATCTGGCGTGTCCACGTATCCCCGTGTGAGCCGCCTGCACACAGTCGGTCCAGGCCACCAGCACCTCATTCTGTAGCATGTCTTGTCTCCAGGGCCCTTGAGTGGAGCCCAGCGGTCCAGCATCTCCCAAGTATCACAAGGATCACAGAGCTCAGGCCTTGGCTGGGCCCTTGTGATTGGGCAGTGGGGAGGGCGCTCGCCTTGTGTGTGGCCCACCTTGGATCCCTGGCACCACCTCTGGTCCCCTGAGCACCGCCAGGAGGGATCCCTGAGCACAGACCCAGGAGTCACTCAGTAGCATCGCTGGGTGCCCCCAAAGCAAAGGGATAACAGTAGCAGCAAAATGAAAAGCCACAGCCGAATGCTGCTCCTGTTGCCCGGCTTGCGGCCTGAACGTGCCTGTGGCCTCTCTGTCCTGGCCTCCTCCCCGGGACTCCGAAATGTGGACACAGAGTCGGCCCAGGGGCAGCCGGGAGGGAACCTGATGGATGTCACTCTGTTTTAATTTGGTGCTTGGACCACACTGGCAATGCTTAGGAGTTACTCCTGCCTCTGCACTCAGGGCCCACTTGTGCTGGTGCTCGGGAGATCCTGTGGGACACTGGGGATGGACCTTGGGTGGGCCACATGCAGGACGCGCCTGCCCCACTGTGCTCTGGCGCTTTGGCCTGTCGTTCTCAGGTGTCCTTCAGCCTTCAGTTGATTGTCGCTGGGTTGAATCCCCAGGGGACCTCAGGAGCCCTGGAGTAGAAGCTCGGATGGGGCTGCTGACCCGTCACCAGTGGCCCCAGCTGTCCCCACCCAGGGTCTGGACTCAGGCCATAGCCGTGGGTTCACAGGTCTTACATTCTGGACGCCTCTGCAGCCCTGTCAGCTCGGTGCCACTGTCTCTAGGAGACCCAGAGGAGGGGCAGCTGAGCTCCGAGGTTCCTGGGCCCTGAGGCCTGTGAAATGCTTTTCCTGGGACCCTCCGGCCCCATGACTGCCTACCTCCTGTGTCTTCCCGACTCCCTGAGAGCTTTTAGAAACCTGCCAGGAAAAACCGGAGTTTCCATGTGTGTGTCGGGTGGTGCCAGGTAGGGTCAGCCTGCCGTGTCCAGCATCTCTGCAGAGTGGGAATATGAAGGGGAAGTAAATACCCCAAACTGGACTTTGAGCCACACGCGCCTGTGCCAGGCAGTGCCAGGCTGCAAAGTGCTTTCTTACCAGGCAGGAAAATTAAATCTGGCATTGTGTTTTTTGTTTTTTCCCTTTTTGGGTCACACCCAGCGATGCTCAGGGGTTACTCCTAGCTCTGCACTCAAGAATTACTCCTGGTGGTGCTTGGGGAAACCTCTGGAATGACGGGGATCAAACCCAGGTTGGTCACGTACAAGGCAAATGCCCTACCCACTGTGCTATCTCTCTGGCCCCCAAATCTGGCGTTTTTAAAAAATGATTTAAAAAAAAAAGTCCAGATAGAAAACCAAGTAGAGAATAAACGCTCTGGAAGGAAATCAGTATCAGAACGAAAGATTGAGTTCTCTTTTATACAACGTGTTGTCCAGCAGATGTCTGAGTGTCTCTGTAGAACAGGTCTGGGTTGAAACCCGTATTTTTAGGAGGCCTGTTAGCCAGTTTGTGACTCTGATTATGTGGGTCCAGACTGAAAGCTTTATTTTTTCAGGGACAGAGGGGCCACGCCTGGCAATATTCAGGGGCTACTCCTGGCTCTGCACTCAGCGATCACTCCTGGAAGTGCTCAGGGGGCCCTGTGGGGTGCCGGGGATGGAACTCTGCTGTGCTATGGCTCTGACCCCTGAAACCACACTCCCTAGGTGCCGCTGGCCAGCTCAGTGCCTCCGATGACTCAGGACTCATGGGCTGGGGGCTCGGGCTGAGGCCTGTGGCGGTGAAGCCCAGGGGTTGCCCCTGGGGCCCCCGTGTGTTCCTCCCCGTGCCAGGCACCGGACTCAGCCACCCCCATGCCGCGCTCTGCCCCACAGGCCTCCTTCTTCGTGCTGTACAACATGGTGACGACAGAGGTGGTGGCTGTGTTTGAGAACACCTCGGACGAGCTCCTGCAGCTTTTCGAGAACTTCTGTGACCTGTTCCGCAATGCCACACTGCACAGTGACGTGCAGTTCCCCTGCTCCGCCTCCAGCAACAACTTCGCCCGCCAGATCCAGCGCAGGTGAGCAGCTCCTGCCTGCATCCCTCCTCCCCCCGTGGGCGTGGGCCCGCTCCTCCGTTCTATGGGGCCCTGTTGCGCAGTGTGTTGTGCTGGTCTCCACTGCGGGAGCGCGGAACTGCGTCTCTGGGTTTTGGGTGTGGGGCTGTTGAACCCAGGTCGTGTGACCCCGTGAGCTGCCACCTCATCCCTCAGCACCACCCCCACCCTCCTACATTGGGGTGACTGGGCACTTCTTGTTCCTTTTTCTTTTTTTTTCTTTTTGGGTCACACCCAGCAATGCTCAGGAGTTACTCCTGGCTCTGCACTCAGAAATTACTCCTGGTGGTGCTTGGGGGACCATATGGATTGTTGGGTATTGAACCCGGGTTGGCAGCGTGCAAGGCAAATGCCCTTCCTGCTGTACTGTTGCTCTGGTCCCTCTTTTTTGGGGGGTTTGGATCACCCACAGCAGTGCTCGGGGGTTACCCTGGCTCTGCACCCAGGGATCACTCCTGACCAATCTCAGGGGACCATGGGGGTTCCGGGGATCGAAGCTTAAGTGTCCTCTCCTACTGTTTCTCCAGACCTCTGATTGAGCCTTTTTATTTTATTTTATTTTTTGTTTTTGTGCCACACGGGGCAGTGCTCAGGGCTTACTCCTGGCTCTGCACTCAGGCATCACTCTTGGCAGTGCTCGAGGGACACTGTGGGGTGCTGGGGTTTGAACTCAGAACTCAGGTCAGCTGCGTGCAAGGCAAATGCCCTCCACACCGTACTATCGCGCCGGACCCTATAGAGGCTTGAAAATATGGATTAATAGAGTTGCCAGTCTAAGAAGTAATGGGAAAATGAAGATTTTGGAGTTCCCTTTTGGAGAGAGACCCTGTTGTTGCCTGTGGCTGTGTTTCTGCTGCCGTGCTGGTGGCATCGCTGCTGTGTCCCCCCTGTGCCTGGTGTCCAGTGTCCCGCTGACAGCACCTCCGCCCGCCCCCCCATGCCTGCCTAGGTTCAAAGACACCATCGTGAATGCCAAGTACGGGGGCCACACGGAGGCCGTGCGCCGCCTGCTGGGCCAGCTGCCCATCAGCGCCCAGTCCTACAGCGGCAGCCCCTACCTCGACCTGTCTCTCTTCAGCTATGATGACAAGTGGGTGTCCGTCATGGAGCGGCCCAAGACTTGTGGGGATCACCCCATCAGGTAGGTGGGCACAGGGACTGTTTGCTGTCCTCACGGGGTGTGTGGATGGTTCCTTCCGTGGCCTCCAGGGCAGGGTGCTGTCCTTTGCCATGGACAGGTTCATGTAGGAGTGCGGATGTCAGGTCTTACCCGAATCAAGGTCAAATGACTCCAGCTGGCTTCCTAATGGGAGGATGGTGATGGCAGTCGGACAGTTTGGGAGTAAGGCGGTCCCGGGGTGTCTGGCTTCACTTGGAGGGATGTTCCATCTTTATTAGCCTTGTTGGAAGCTTGGAAGTTCCCTCCAAAAGTGATTCATCCTAGCTGGGAGAACAGCCATTATATGCAGGAGACCAGTTGATCCCCTGCAAACACACATGCACACACACGCAGACATGCAGAGAAACACACACACGCATGCACACATCATGCATACCAACAAATGTACACACATGACATGCACACACATGCACACAAACACTCCTGCGTCTACACACACAAACACATGCACTCACACACACATGCACCACACACACACGCACTCACCTGCACACGTGCACACACTTGCACACATAGATGCACACACACGCACATCCACGCACATCCACGCATGCAGACATACAGCCCTGTGTGGGTGTGGCTCACGCCGTGTGCTTCTGGGTCCAGGTGGCTGCTCTTGGAGCCCCTCCCTGCCAGTGGCCGTGGAGCACCGCCACGTCCACCTGCATCTCCAGGCCATCCATGCCTCCGTCTTGGCTGGTCCCTGTATGAACGCTGGACACTTGGGTCTCAGAGGACGTGCTCTGACACAAGGTGGCCCTTGTCCTCTGCTCCTGCGTCTGCGGGTTGGGGGGTTTTCCTGGAGCGGCATGTCTGGTTTGCCAATGCCGTCGCCCGACCCGCAACAAATGGAGCTTCTCGTCACTGCCCTGTATTTCTGCTTGGGCCAAGGAAGGGGCCGACAGTGCCTGGCTGTCCCCTTGCCGTGGGCTCTCTCCTGACCCTCATCATCCACGCTATCCCCAGCTCTGCGGTGCTTATGTCCTGGAGGGGCGGTGTGTGGCATGTGCCCACAGCTGTGGACCATGCGGCAGCTCAGGCCGCATCCATGAGGCACCACCTGTGTTCCTGGTGTCGGTGACTGTGAGGGTCTTTCTGTCTAAAGGCTTTCCTATGTGGGCTGTGGATTTTACAGAACTTTCTCCGGTGTGGCCACCCCAGTGCCTGCCCCCAGAGCCCCCTTGCAGATGGGAAAGGGGCCCAGTCCTGATGGGTGGGCCTGGCTTTGCTCTCATGGCGTTCAGTGAAAAGTGCAAACTGTCTAGTGTTTTGTGTCTGTGTGTGAAAAAGAACCTCCCTGAAGAATTTCCTCTCAAAAGTAAACAAAGAGGGATGGGCCTGGAGCTGCCCTTCAGGTGGGTGACTGTTAGGATGGAGCCTCGTGCTTGTGTGTCAGGGGCCCCGGGTCAGCCCTCTCAGCACCCCTGACCTGTGGCCCTGGTGTCCCCGGCAGTGCAGAGGGCAGCCTCTGGAGAGCAGGCGTGGCCTCCAGCTGGGCAGGGAGCAGGAGGGCACGTCGCGTCAACCACAGACTTCTTAGCATCCTTCCTCTGTTTCACATGGGGGCTTGCGGGCCGCACAGGTGGTGCTCGGAGATGCTCCCAGCTCCGGGCATGGAACTTGGGCCTCCTGCGTGCCCCCAGCCTCTCCTTACTCCATCTAATGGCCCCACTGCTAGCCTTGACCTTGACAGCTTGGGGCAGGATGCTTCTGGAAAAGAGGGGAGGCTGGGGCTGAGGGGTCTCCCTGGGATAGGAGAAGGAGCCGGTGACTCGCGACCCCGTAGTCTGACTGACCACTGTGCCCTACTCTGGGCAACCAGCCGGGGAAGTGGGGGGGACATGTCCTCTCCTGGGGTGGACTCTGCCGCCGTGCTCTGTGTGTGTGTGTGTGTGTATGCAAGTGCACGTATGTATGTGCTTGTGTATTTGCATATGTATTTGAGCGTGGATGTGTGTGCACGTGCATATATGTGTGCTTGTGTGTGTATGTGTGTATATATGTGCATATGTGTGCTCATGTGTGTACGTGTGTGTTGATGTGTGTGCTTGTGTGTGCATATTTGTGTACTCATGTGTGCTCATACGTGTATGCATGTGTACGTGTGTGCATGCATGTGCGTGTGTGCCCGTGTGCATGTGTGCGTGCTGGCTCCAGGCTCCGGTGCTGCTCAGCCCCGTCTCTCGCCCCCCAGGTTCTACGCGCGGGACTCGGGGCTGCTCAAGTTCGAGATCCAGGCGGGCCTGCTGGGCCGCCCCGTCAGCCACACGGTGCGGCGCCTGGTGGCCTTCACCTTCCACCCCTTCGAGCCCTTCGCCATCTCTGTGCAGCGGACCAACGCCGAGTACGTCGTCAACTTCCACATGCGCCACTGCTGCACCTAGGCCCCCTGCCTGGCCCCCTCCTTGTCTCGGGACCCAGAAGCAGAATCGGGGCCTGGTGCCGCATCTCCCGCGTGGACTGGGCCTTTGCTCTGCGCCACGGCAGCAGACTCGGGCCATCGCCCTGGTGCGTGGCCGGGTGAAGCGTCCCCCGGCCCCTGCGTGCCGAGCACGGCCACCTCCTCCCTGCGCTGTGCCCAGCAGGGCCATCTTTGTAAGGGAATAAAGCGTCTGTATTTTCTTAGCCTGCCCAGCCGTGCCTGCCTCTGTCCCGGTGCCCCCCATGCTGGCGGCTGCGGCCCGCGGGAACACGGTGCTCTCCGGGGGCCGTTTCAGCTCCTGCTCTAGCTCGGGGTAATTGCCCGGCCCCACGCCAAAGCACACTCCCCGCCGTGCCATCTGTGCCGGCCAGGTGGAGGAGGCGCAGACGAGCCCAGGGCAGCATGCGCGGCCGTGCGGGTGTCAGAGCTGGCGTCGGGCACAGTTGGGGGCCCTGAGGAGAACCTCCAGCTGTCTCTTGTCCCCAGCCTGTGTCCTGGGGGCTGCTCGTGGCCAGCTCGAGGTTCCCATCAGCCTTCAGAGACAGCTGGGAAATGTTGGGTCAGCGGGCGGGGGGGGGAGCCCGGGGACAGACGGCCAGCCGGGTATGGGTCCAGCTCACCTCATGAGGCGCAAGTACTGGGTCTGTCCCATCCCATGTCCCCTGGGACTGAGCACCTGCCCAGAAGGAGACGGGGAGCGAGGCGGACATGGCACCTCGGGAGAGCACTGTGGGTGCCTGGGTGGACTCCAGAGACACCCGCCCCCAGCTCACGACGCGGGGGGTCAACAGAGCCCCGAAGAGGGGAAGCACCTGCTTCCTGGCTCTTGCCTCAGAGGGTCTAATGCCTCCAGGGTGCCTGGGAAGGGCTCTGTGGCAGGGGGTGGGGAGGTGGGGGGGTGGAGGTCCAGCCCCTGAGCACTGCTGGGTGTGGCCCAGACTTGGCCCAGGTCTGTTGAGGACTGTGCCACGGGGCCACTAGCCGACCGCTGATGCGTGGGGAGGGCCACAGCTGCCTTGTGTGAGCCGAGCCAGGCTGCAGTGTCTCTGGCAGAGTGTGGCCACCTCCTTTGGTTTCGGCCAGTGTCATGGTCTCCGCGGCTACTCCCTCAGGGCAGCTGATGGGTGTCCACGAACCCTGATGCCCGTCCCTTGCCAGCCTGGTTTTCTGTTGAGCTCCCAGCTGGCCGTGTGCCTGCCTGTCGGAGCGCGACAGGGGAAGTGCTCTCACTCGGGTGTTGCCCTGTGCCCCACTCCCCGCCCTGACCCCTGATGTATCCAGGCCGAGCCCTATAATGAGCCAGACCCCGAGCCTGCTGGGTGGTCCCATTGAGGAGTAGCTGCGACTCCCTCAGGGCCACCTCGAGCTCAGGATTCCGGCCACAATCAAGGAATGTTTTGTCTCATCGACAACACCCCTTAATCACACCCAGCAGTGGCCTCAGAGCTGCGTTCTGGGGGCTGTGATGAGAAGAGAATGGGGGGGGGGGGCGGTGAGGGCAGGTGGAGGCTGCACAGCCCTGAGCCCCGCTGGAGGGCTGGGGGCCTTTGTCTGTGCTCCAGGACCCCCGTTTCTCCAGCCACAAGCAGAGGGACAGTGCTGACACGGCAGGGCCCCTGCGGGGTCTGGGGCTCGAGGGCCCCCCTGTTTGAGTTGCTGCCCTCCCCTGTCCCTCTCTGCCGTCTCCCTGCTTCACTGCGGCCCAGTCGTGCCATTGGCAGAACTCTCTGGCCCTTTGTGCAGAGCGTTCCGGTGAGCAGAGCGCCGACCTTTCATTTGCGCCCTCGCAGGGAAGCGGGCTAATTCCGAGAAAAGCCTAAATGAGGTAATTTCCAAAAGAACGCAGCTTCATTATTTTCAAGTACACCGAGTCACTGGCGAAGTGCGCCTTTGTCGAGCCCCTCGGGCCGCCCTGAACGAGAGACTCATAATTATCGGTAATCAGCGTAATGCCTCCTCTGCCAGGCGTGCCCGGGAAGGGAGGGAGTCCATTAAGTGGTTTCCAGGCTGGGGGGCGGTGGGCTTCGCTTGGTCAGCACACCCCCTTTGCAGCCCTCTCCCTCTGGTCTAAACCAGTTCTGCCGCCTCTCAGCCCCCAGCAGCAGGGCTCAGGCTTGGCTGTCCCCCACCCCACCCAGAAGCAGCAATGGGGCGGATCTTCCTGTCCCGGCCAGCCAGAACCGGCCCTAGCACACCCTGGTCACAGGGACCCCTTCATTGGTCACTGGTCTCCAGAGGTGCTTCCTCTCAAAACCAGAACCCAGGCTGTCCCCCAGAAGCAGGCCTCCCCTCCCCCGCTCACCCCTCTGCCCGCCTTCTCAGGCTTGGCCCCTCTGTGTCCTGCTTCCCCCCACGTCTTCCAGGTTGTCGTCCGCTCAGAATCCCGACCCCCGCCGCACCGTTTTTGTTAGTCTGGCCATCACACCTGGCAGTGCTGATTTGTTTTTATTTTTATTTTTGGGCCACGCCGGCAGAAGCGTGTAGGACTTCTGGCTCTGCGCTCAGGGATCACCACTTCTGGCGGGGCTCTGGGGACCATATGGGGTGTCGGGAATCGAGCCCCAGGTCAGCCATGTGCAAGGCCAGACGTGCTGTCACTAGGGTTCCACACTTGGCAGTGTGGGTGCGGCTGGTGTGTGTGGCCCAGGGACCGAGTGGGGCTCCTGCTTGCCCTCTGAGCTGGCTCCTGGATCAGGTGCCTTTTGGGGAGGCTTGTGGGGGCGCTGGAGTCCAGGTCCTCTCAGCTCGCTTTTTGAAGCTGTGAATCCTCCCGCTTCTGCTCGTGTGTGTGTGTGTGTGTGTGTGTGTGTGTGTGTGTGTGTGTCCGTGACTGTGCCCCTTCCTGCTCAGCTTCCCGCAGGGCCAGGAAGGCTGTGCCCAAGGCCCTGCTGTGCCCGGGCTGCCTGTGCGCGCATTCATTTGGCACATTTCACAGCTCCTGGAAGGAGGAGACGTTGTGGCATTTAATGAGCGGCCGGAACAGAACATGCCTTCTGCAGGACAGGACTGATTTCCCCGCCAGCTGGAGCCCCCTCGGCAGCAGCAGGGGGCACTGCCCTCCCGTCAAAGTCCTGGGCCCCGCTCTCCCTGGACCCTCCCTGCCCGCTCCCCCAGAGGAATTGGCCAGCTCTGGCTCAGATGCAAGCAGTTGGTCTGGAACCCAGCCCCCCCAACCCGTACCCTGAGAAGGCAGCTGGGGCTTGGGGCTCTGGTGAGCTGGCCGGACAATCTGCTGTAAGAGCCTTGGGTTCTGATGGTGATGTTGCAGGGAGGAAGAGGGGGGCCTGCCTGGGCCCCCTGCTCCAGACCCTCACCTCTGAAGCAACGCCTGATTATCGGGGATGACTCATGCCCTTCTGGGTGTGTTTTGGGCCACATCCGGTGCTGCTCAGAGCTCACTCCCTGGGGGCTGGAGGGGACTGTGTGTGCCGCTGCCACTGGAACTGGGGGTTAGTGAGGAGACGGACACCGAGGCTGGCTGGTGGAGCGGGCAGCCCTGGTGTGGGCGGGTGGGGGCCGCCGCAGAGCCCAGCTAACAGCTGCTGTTTGTGGAGGAGGCTGTGAGCACGGGGACAGCAGGATTAGGTGTACCCAGGCCCAGGGCTGCCGCTCAGCGAGCTGTCTGTTCCCATGGCAGCCGGCAGGTTCAGCCCCCGCCTCACAGCCTGGGACCTTCCCCAGTGACCACAGCTGCCCATGTGGTGGGAGGTTATCCCCAGAGTCTGTCAGCGGCACAGGGCGTTGCACCCACCCACCAAAGCCCCTCTGCCGGCCTGCCAGTTCTTGGGGTGCTGCCTGCCCTGTCTGCTCCTTTGTTCTGCCAGTCGAACACAGCTCTGGAATCATAGCAGCAGGCCCCAGTACCACCCAGTACCCATATCACCCAGTGCCTAGTACCACCCAGTACCAGCAGGCCCCAGTACCACAAGCGACAGTACCACTCAGTGCTCACTCTCCTGCATCGCTGTTTGTTCTGAGATGAGAAAAGCCCTGGCGTTCCCCTTCCCCTTGGGCACTTGATTGCCCGGGGCTGCCCCCGCCCCATGCCCCAGGTGTGCCTGTGAGGTTCCTGGTTGTGCGTCTCAGTCAGGGCATGCCGTATCACATGTGTGTGTGTGTGTGAGTGTGGGTGTCCGTCACAAGTGCTTGGGGCGTGCTAAGAAGGTTGGAGTCCCGCATGGCGGGGGACACGGCTGTGTTGGTGGAGATGCATGTCAGTGTGGCACAAAGACCCCAGCTCTGTGCTTCCTTGCTAGGACCCCACTGCTATGGGGAGGGAGGAACCCAAAGGTCCAGGCAGTCCAGTCAGGCAGGGGTGAGCTGCTCCACCCCGAGGCCACTGGGCACCTAGTCTGCTTCTGGTGGGTCCACTCATGTGCCCATCCACTGTCCACCCATCACCCCTTCCACTCCTCCGTTCACGCACCCACCCTCACTCATCCACCCTATCCATCCATCCAACCACCTGTCCACCCACGTCCACCTGCCCAGCTGTCCATCCCTTTGTCCATCTATCCATCCATCCACCTGTCCATCCCCTATTCGTCTGCCCAGCTGTCAGTCCTTCTGTCCATCTATCCACCCACCCATCCATCCGTGGTCCACCAGGCACTAGCCGCTGCCTTCAGTGCTTTTTCCCACTGGGCCCTCTGGCTCGCCGTGGTGTCTGAACAGCGTGTTCTTTGCTGTCTGCAGTGTCCTCGCTGCCAGGGACACGCGAGCAGCGGAGCGAGAGCATCTGTGTGTAAAGTGGAGTGAATGAGGCTGCGGGGCTCACGGGGCCAGGGACAGAACACTCATGTCCCCGCGTCTGCGCTGAGGTCGCCCCACTCAGCTCTGGGAAGGCGAGCCCCAGGGTCCATCTGCAGGGAGTCAGGGATGGTGGGGGCGGAGGGAGAAGGGGCAGACGGCAGGTGTTCTGCTGCCGTTCCCAGTGACATTTCCTCTGGGTTCAGGGGGATCAGGCAAATCCAGGGCGGCTAAGCTGCCCAGGGAGCTATGGAAACGGGCACCCTGCCCCCTTCCATGGCACTCCTGATAAGCCAGGGGTGCGAGGGAGAAGCACCTCAAGTAGTGTCCAGCCCTGCCTCCCATCTCCCCTGGCCCCTTCACTCGACCTGTATCTGGAAGGTGCTCCGCCATGTGCATGGAGCAGCCTCCCTGGGACCCTCAGCTCTGGGGGGCAGGGGGTGTCAGTGCTCGCCATGGGCCGTCTCCCCCTGCACATCTGGAGGCAGCAGAGCTGCACAGGCCCAGCACACTTGGGGCGATTAATCTGAATGTGGGGGCGGTGGGGAAGAGTACCAGCCCCGGCAGCACTTCCAGAGGTTCTTCACGGGGCAGAAGGCTAGGGGGACATGGCGCCACAGAGCAGATGAGGGAGGAGGGAGCAAGGGAGGGAGAATGAGAGGAAAGGGCAGCACGGGGATAAAGGCAGAGAGAGGCAGAGATGAAGGGGAGAGAGAGAAAAAGGGGAAGAGGCAGAGGGAGGGAGAGAGGGACAGGGAGGGGAGAAACGAGTGGGAAAAGCCGGGGACGCCACAGGGATCCACATGCTCATGTCCAACTGGTGGGGGACGTGGCCACCAGCCCCAGCATGCTGGGGGCTCGGGTGGTGGCAGACATGGGTGTGCCGCCTGCTGGGGCCCATGGGGACCTGCCCTGCCCTTCCCCCATGCAGCTACACTCTGGCCCTCCCCACGACAGTTTTCTGGAGGATTCTTTGTCTTGGCTCTGCTGCCTTGTCACGTCACCGGGAACTGGGTGGCTCCCCAGGGGACCCTGGCTGAGGATGGCCTCACTGGGGCTGCCGGCTGGGAGCCTCCACATTGGGTGCTCCCTCCAGAATGTCCCAGAGGCAGAAGTGCCCCCAGCGAGACTGTGCTGGGACGCCGCTGGAGACACCGCCTTGGTCCAGGGGCTCAGACATCTGTCTGCAGGGCACAGGGCCCCTCCACTGCCCTGACTGGGCTTGGGGATCACCCCTGGCAGTGTTGAGGGGCACAGACCGGGCAAATGCCTTCACCCCATATTGATGGCCGTGGCCTTCCGCTGGTCTTTCTGCTGCTCGTGCCCCCCACAGCAGGACGGGGGGAAGTGAGTGACTGAAAGCAGACAGCGGGTGGCAGTCTTTATTTCCTGGGTGGGGACTCTGTATTTCTCACGCAGGGGAAGCTGCACCTTTAGGGTGTCGGAGCCTCACAGCCTCCGTGCCTTCCGGGGGCGGCAGCCATTGTGCGGGATGGGAGTGTTGTCTGTGATGGAGATCACTTCCAGGCCCCCCATAGTCAGGCCCTTGATGGCGGACTAGAAGAAGAGAGACAGAATAGTGGGTGACCCGCCAGCCCGGAGCCCCCCATGCCCCACTACAAGCAGCCCCTTTTGGCGCACAGGGCAGGTCCCCCGACGGGGAGCGCCAGATTCCATGATCCAGACAGACACGCACAGGAAGCCCCGGGTCCTTGCACAGCAGCTTCCGACTCTGCTTGACGCCCTGGACACACAGTGGCTTCACTCACCAAGCGCCCCGGTCCTAGGCCCTTGACCACGACGCGGATGTGGGTCACGCCCTTGCCGAGAGCTTTCTGGAGAGGAGAGCGGTGGGTCGGGTCAGCACACCCCTCTCCGCGCCCGGCAGCCTGGCAGCACTGCCACCTGCTGGACAGTCCGCACCATGGCACCCTGTGAAGACTCAGGCCAGGGGCTGGGCCTGCTTGATACTTTGTGACTTTCCAGTGACAGTTACTAAGCGGTGCTTCAGGAATAGTTACTAGATGATGCTTAAGCAACAGTTACTGATCAGCGTTTCAGTAAGTTACTAAGTGGTGCTTCAGTAGTTACTGGGTGATGCTTGAGGAACAGTTACTGATGCTTAAGAAATGGCTACTTTCTCTCTCCGGACCAGAATCTACTGGACCTCATCACAGATCATCTAAGCTCCCTTCAAACGCCCCTGGGTCCCTCCACCACACTCAGGCCAAGACTACCTGGACCCCGTGGATTCTTAAGGGCTTCTGAGGTGCAGGCTGTCCGGACCCACATCTGCCAAGGGGCCCCACCTCCCCATGCCCCTCCCTACTGTCCTGGGGTGGAGGCTCTCGAGCCCACAGCATGGGGCCCTCTCCCAGGCCAGGCCAGGGATGCCCAGTTCTCGGAGCGCCTTCCCTTGCTCTGCTCACCGCCGCGGCCGCAATGCCTGCTGTCTGCGCTGCAATGCCGGTGCCCTTCTTGGCATTCCGGAAGCCCTCAGTGCCACAGGACGTGCGGGCCAGGGGCTGGTTGGCAGCGGAGACCACCTGGATCTGTGTGCTGTGTGCAGAGAAGGCAGGAGGGCTGAGATACGGCCGTTCCACTCTGGGGCCCTCACCTACCCGCACGGCTCCAAGTGCCTCCCTGGGCTGTGTCTCACTGAGCTGGGCAGACATGGTGCCTGAGTTCCTGCCCCAAGTGCCAGGGAAGGTGGACTCGGGCCCTGGATATCGGGGAGACTGAGGGAGGGGCGGCAGGTGAGGGTCCCCGAGAGCTCTTTCAAGAGTCACCCCTGTGAGCCTGTGGCAGACACCCCTCCCGACTCACTTGTTGTGGGAGGCCTTGATGTGTGCGATGGGGATCTCCTCGAACTTCCTGCCCGCCCACCGCAGCGGGCTCTCCTGCCCGGGCACCGGTGGGTAGATGCTGCAACGAGAAGGGATGCGCGGGCCACGTTCCCCACTGCGGCCTGAGACAGACTTTTGGGACAAGCAGCATTGCCCAAGTCTAGCCTATCCCTCCTTGGACGTGGGGCTCGTCAGTGGAGACCCTGGCTGGCACCCCCCGTGCACGGCTGGGACTTTCCCTCTTCCTGTCCTTGGCTTTCCAGATACCAGGGAGATCCTTTCAAGCCTTGTTTCGTTACCTACTGGCTACCTCTCCAAGCACCACTGTATGGGCTCCCTCGCAAATCCCCCACCCCCCCATGATGGCTCTGGTAAGCCACAACACCTGGGTTAAAGGGAGACCTCTCAGCCCCCCCATGGCACACTCTGATACAGCTGGCCAGTGGCCCCGCAACTGTGCCCACTGATCTACTGTCATTCTCAGAGATTCCTGCGCCCAGCCACTGTTCTCTGGATGCTGACCCCCACAGTGCAACAGGACAGGTGGCCGTGGCCACGTGAGCCTCCGTCCCCTCCTGGTGGCACATTGGCCTCGGCTCTTCCTTCTAAATACCAGACCCGGCCACCCCCTGCCACGTGTCCTGGATAGGGATCTGGACCCGAAAGGTAAGCTTGCAAGGGGCCCTGGGCTTTTGGTCTTGGGGCGCTGCTCTGTGCCCAGCAGGTGGCAACGGACATCTGCAGCTGGGGGCCCTGGGTTGGGCTAAACCCGGGGTGCGTGAGCCCTCGGCACGTGGCTCCTCACCTTGCCCGCCTCAAGGGCCACCTGCACCCCTGGGTCCCGCTCCGCCCAAGGAGCCCTTCCCACCTCGTCCGCCCAGCGACAGGGCAGCACGGTCCGGTCTCGTCACTGGGTGGGGGGGAGGGCGGGAGGGGTCCTGCCCTAGCGCCCGGGAAGGAGACCCCCGCGTGCACGCGACAGGGCCGGGGTGGCCGCACCCACGCCCACCTGAAGCTGCCGCGGCCGGGGCCCGCAGGCGTGTCTGCGACGAGCTCCGGGGCCGCGGCGTCCTGCGCGCCGTGCAGGGAGCGGACGGCGGCGGAGAGCCTGCGGGCCGAGAGCGCGGTGAGGGGGCCGGGCGCGGGGAGGGGGTCCCGGGCGCGGGGAGGGGGGGTCCCGGGCGCGGGGAGGGGGTCCCGGGCGCGGGGAGGGGGTCCCGGGAGTGGGGAGGGGGGTCCCGGGCGCGGGGAGGGGGTCCCGGGAGCGGGGAGGGGGGTCCCGGGGAGGGGGGTCCCGGGCGCGGGGAGGGGTCCCGGGCGCGGGGAGGGGGTCCCGGGAGTGGGGAGGGGGGTCCCGGGCGCGGGGAGGGGGTCCCGGGAGCGGGGAGGGGGGTCCCGGGGAGGGGGTCCCGGGCGCGGGGAGGGGTCCCGGGCGCGGGGAGGGGGTCCCGGGCGCGTGAAGGGGGGTCCCAGGGAGGGGGGTCCCGGGCGCGGGGAGGGGGTCCCGGGCGCGGGGAGGGGGTCCCGGGCGCGGGGAGGGGGTCCCGGGCGCGGGGAGGGGCGTCCCGGGAGCGGAGAGGGGGGTCCCGGGCGCGTGAAGGGGGGTCCCAGGGAGGGGGTCCCGGGCGCGGGGAGGGGGTCCCGGAGCCGCCGTGCGCATTCACCGGCTCGCCGCGCGGGCGCCCGCGTTCCTCAGAGCCTGCATGACCCGCTCGGGCGACCCCCGCTCCCCGCCTCGAGCCCCGCCCGGGCACCGGCCTCCTCACGGCCGCCGCGGACGGTGGGGCCCGGCACTTCCGGGGCGGGGCCGCCCGCGCGCCCGGGGCCCGGGGTCACGTGGGCCGGCCCGGGGCCTGCTGGGAGCCGCGCGGCCTGCCGGGAGGCCGGGAAGATGGCGGCGCCCGCGCGGGCGGGCCTGCTGCGGGCTCCGTGGCGCCTGTGGGGCGCGCTGTGCCTGCAGCGGCCGCCGCGGGTCTCGAGGCCGCTGACCCCGCTGCAGGAGGAGGTGGCGGCGCTGCTGCAGCAGGTGCGCGGCGGCCGGGCGGGGCGATCGCGCCGGGCGGGGGGGGGGCGGCGCGTGCCCGGCGGCCGAGCGGGACGGCCCGCCCGCACCCCGGCTCCCCGCCGGCCCCGGGCCCGAGCCCCCGACGCGACCCCGGCCGGGCGCCGCTCGTGGATTCCCCCTGGGGCGGGGGGCGGGGGGCGCCCGGACCGCCCCCCGCGAGCGAGCCCGCCCCTCGGCGTCCGCAGGTCGAGGTGGAGCGGAGCCGGTACTCGGACCACGAGCTGCGCGCGCGGGAGGAGGCCCGGCGGCTGGAGCGGAAGCGCGAGGAGCCCCCCGAGGACGAGGACGCGGACGGCGAGCGCGACATCCTGCTGGCGCAGGACCTGGAGGACGCCTGGGAGCAGCAGTTCCTGCGGTTCCGGCCCGGAGCCCGCACGACCGGTGCGCGACCCCCGGCCAGCGGCGGGACGGGGCGCCGGGCCCAGGGCTGCCCCTGGCTGCTAGCCGCCGGACAGATCGTCGCAGGGGGGAACCTTCCTGGCGGGGGAACCGTCGGTCCTTTCCCCGCCCCCTCCCCTCTGCCCAGCGCTGCCCCAGAGCGCAGTGAGGGTGTGGGCACCTTTGTCTCCTGAGACTGGGGGTTGCAGATGAGGCTGGGAGGCAGCAGTGCCAGCCTTTGCCCTCTTCTTCTTTCATTCACCCCCACCCCCCCTTTTTTTTTTTTTTTTTTTGGTCTGAGGTCCTTAACGGGGCTCTGATGACCTCACAGGAAGAGGAGATGATGCTGATCGCTCCTCTCCTGGCCCCCGTTGTGGCCGACCATGTCTCAGCGCTGCTTGGATCCCCGGCCTCAAAGCTCTCAAGCTCCTACTCTTCCAAAGGAAGGCTCGGTGTCCGCTTCCTTGGTGGACACCCCCTGGTCGTCTGGGTTACTGACTCTTGCCGTGCCGGGGGGCCATTGGTTCGGAGCTCCTGGCGGCAGCTTCCTCATCCCCTTCTCTTCCAGACGCTGATAAGAAGAACGACCGCACCTCACTGCAGCGGAAGCTGGACCGGAACCTTGTCCTGTTGGTCAAAGAGAAGCTGGGGGACCAGGAGGTGTGGGTGTTGCCCCACGCGGAGTGGCAGCCTGGAGAGACCCTGCGGGGCACGGCCGAGCGGGTCCTGGGCTCGCTGGCAGGTGAGTCCCCTGCGCCTTGCGGACCCTGCACTCAGTGTCCCTGTTAGTCTGCGAGCAACCAGATGGGGCTCCACTGTGCGCTAGAGAGCTTCAGAGGGCTGTGGGGGCGCCCCAGATTAGGGGCCACCCTGGAGGCTTTAAGTTTGTTCACAGAAGCGTATTACATTCAATGTTCCAACACCAATCACACCATCATTACACCTTGCTGCCCTGGGGGCTTTAGTGGGCTGTGGGATGCCCCGAGGGGAGGGGCCACCCTGGGAAGGACGCTGTGTCTAGGGCCCCGGGGATGGGACATTCCTGCCAGATCAACAGCCGGTGCCTAAGTTCAGCGAGGGGAACCTCTTTAGGGGTGCCGCATCCCCTCTGATCTCAGGAAACTGGCTTTGCAGAGCTTCCTGCAGCCGGCTAGACGTTGCAGGCAGACGGCCGAGCGTCTGAGGGTTCAGTTCTGCCTTACAGCTCCAGGCTGGCGTGGGCATGCCGACAACTTCGTGCGCTCAGTCGGGTGGTCAGCTCGGACTGTGGGGGTCAGGAGAGCGTCCACCCGTCTGTCCATCCTAAGGGGATTCTGGGTTCGGTGCTGTAGGAGCTGCTCTGTCTGTCCGTTCTCTCTCTGGCTTCTTGGTGTCTGGTGCTGCCTCCTGGTGTCGACTGTGCTTCCACACTCCCTGGTGCGTGGGGTGCCAGACTCTCGGCCCTGGCCCGGCGCTGAGACTCCGTGTGGGTCTGGTCAGGTGTTTTGGAGGGGCGGTTCTGCGTGTTGTTGGGTGCTTTGCTAGCGTCTCTGAGCTCAGACCCACCCACACCCACAGAGTGACGACCAAAAACTGATAGTGGGTGCCGTGGGCCGCAGGGCAGTGCATGAGAGAGCAAGCACTGAGAGCACCCAGAATGAGAGCCGGGGCTGCTGGTGTGGCTCCCAGCTGAGCTGCTGTCGCCTCCCTGTCCTCTTACTTAGACCTGCCAGGATTCGCGTTTGGAAATGGATCCTGTCACCCCGCTGAGAAGTCTTCCAGGGTTGCCCACCGACTCTTAGGCGTGTCCTGTGCTCCTTCCCGGGTCCCGAGCTTCTTGTCTCCAGCCCTGCTGCTCACGGCCTGTGTGTTCCGGGAGGCTGGGCTCATCCCAGACACAGCACTGTCTCGCCCCTGGTCTTGGCACTGGTGGGCTGACTCAGCTCTCGTCGGTCACTCCGGAGGGGCACTGGGATGGGCCGGGGCAGCAGGAGACAGTAGTCTCAGCAGGGTTGCAGGGCCAGGCCTTGCTTGGTGACGGTATGTGCAGCCGTCATAGACATGCGGAGCCCAGCACCCCCCTCCCATGCATGCCCTTCATACCCCTCCCCCCCGTACATGCCCTTCCGCTGTGCACATCTCCCCCCACCCCCATGCATCCTCCCCTGTGGGTCTTCCGCAGCTTCTGTGTTCTCAGTCCGGGCCCCCAGATACGGAGGGCAGGTGAGCACAGACATGCTCAGACTCGGGGCACAGGCTCCAGGAGGCGGCCCGCAGACTGAGGGCAGAGGCTCCAGAGCTCCAGAGGTAGTTCTCAGACTGAGGGCAGAGGCTCCAGCAGGCTGTGGGGGGCTGCTCACCAGTGCGCCTCTTCCTCGCGGCCGCCCCACCATCTGCTCGGGAGACACGTGCCTTGTTGTAGTTCATCTCCTCGTGCTGAGATCTTCGTCTCACTGTCGAGAGACAGAGCCCCTGGGTAGGGGGATGCCCGCTGCTACCTGGTTGGTGTGTAGAAGCAGCGACGTTCCCGTCGGTTGGTCAGCACAAAAGGTTGGCGTGCTCCTCTAGACATCACAAGAACTCTTGAGTGCATGGGAGTGTGCGTGTGTGTGTGCACGTGTGCGTTGTAAGTACGTGCGTATGTGTGAGTGCGTGCGTGTGCATGCATTTCTGCGTGCATGCATGTGTGCGTGAGTGCATGTGTGTGTTGTGTGTGTGTGTGTGGGGGTGCATGTGCATTTATTCACAAGGTCTGTCACACTCTAATGCACTGCGCAGTGCGTGGTCTCCTGGGTGATGGTGGTGGGTGCCTTCTTGTGCCCCTCTGTGCTTCCCCAGGGGATTCCATGTCTGGGATGATCAGGTTCTCTGCATTGACTTGCTCCATCGGGGGTGCTCTGGGCACAGACCCACAGGTGAGGAGGGTGAAGAGAGCCCCGAGGTGAACCCGCACATGCGTGCCCCAGCAGAGGTGGTGGGAAGGTGTCCCGCCCTAGGACGGTCTCTGCGAATGGTGCTGGGGAGGCTGGGCAGCACCTCCAGGGAAGGACAGGGACCCACGAGCCCCAGGCAGGAGCTGACTCAAGATAGACTCCTGACTGACAGGGGCGGGGCGGTAGTCCAGTGAAACAGTGCCCAGGGTCGCTCTTGCCTGACGCAGAAGCGGAGGCTGGGCAGGGCTCCCACTCTCGCGGGCAGTAGCTGCTGTGCCTTGCAGGAAGAGCTCCCACGGAGCGGGCTCGGCGGGAGGAGTGGGCCTGAGAGGGGCTCCTGGCCAGAATCAGGGCGACGCTCAGAATGCACCAGCAAAGACAGTGACAAGGCAGGCGATAGAGGAATGGGGCCGACAGGCGGGGACGATCCGGCCCCCCTCAGGAGGGAGCTGCGCCCTTGCCCTGCCAGAGGGTGTGGGATCATACGAGATAGCTGTTGGTGCAGAGAGACGGGAGCCCGGGGCACACCGGGAATCTCAGGGCGTTGTCGGAGGAGAAGAGACACCAGGCAGGTGGCGGTGCTGTGCTCTGGGAGAGGGGCTCAGATGCACAGAGCTGACGGGCCTTCCCCCACACGCAGAAACAAAATGAGGGGCCGGAGAGAGACAGCGGGGAGGGTGCTTGCCTGCACACAGCCCGAGGTCCCCCAAACACCACCAGGAGAAATTCCTGAGGGCAGAGCCAGGAGTCAGCCCTGAGCATTGCCCCAGGTGTGACCCAAACCTTGCCCCCCTTCCCTCCCCCCAAAAATACCCAAAACCCGTGAGGTCACCTGTCTTTCATGAACAGAGATTGTTTCTGTGCCCACGTCTGTGGTTTCTCTGGTGCCAGTTTGGATATGAGACTGGGATCCTGGTCCTAGGGCCCAGTTTCATGCCCCTGCCCCCCATCCCCGCCCTCCCGTTGTGCTGAATGCTGAAGCCCTTTCCTCCCTCATGTGAAACGCCGGCTAGTACACAGCTTCCCCCACATTCTCTCAGCCTCGGGGCGCACCCATTAGCATTGTCCCTACTGTCACTCTCAGACCTCGCTCCTCAGAGGTGCCTAATCTGAAAGCATCGCCGGGACGGCTCTCCCGATGCCGTGGAGGATTCTAGGAACCAGAACCCACTGGTGGCCATCTCCTCATCTTGCCATTCTGTTTTCTGTCCCCTGCAGAGAACAAGGTGGAAGCCAAGTTCCTGGGCAATGCGCCTTGTGGCCACTACAAGTTCAAGCTCCCCCAGGCCGTGCGCTCGGAGAAGAACGTCGGGGGCCGCGTCTTCTTCTTTAAAGCGCTCCTGCTCTCGGGGCAGGTGGCCCTGGCTGGGGCCCAGCGGCCCCATGTGTGGGTCTGCAAGGAGGAGCTGGGGGACTACTTGAAGCCCAAGTACCTGGCCCAGGTGCAACGATTCCTCTTGGACCTCTGAGTGCCCCAGGACACCGGAGTGGCCCCGCGTGTGCCAGAAGCCGGGAGCTGCAGGCTCGAGCAATGAAAGCTTCTCCCGGTGCCCTCCCCTGAGCCGCGGGCCTGGGCCCGAAACATGCTGCTCCGTGGCTTCTCGCCCGCCCCGGCTCCTTTTCCTCCCTTTCTGCTGCCGAGGGAAATGTGGTTTTGGCGATGGCTCCTTCTCCTGGTGCCGGGACTGTCCTGGGGCACCCCGCCCGCCTGGTCGCCACCTCCCCACCTCTGGGACATGAATTGTTTTCTCTCTCTGCACTCAGGACACCGTGCCGACTCTTTTTTTGGTTGTGGTGGTGGTTGTTGTTTCTTTCATCCTTTCATGCTCCAGGATTGGATCCAGGCCTTCAGCGCACGGGAACTTGTTCATGAATCCTGTGTAGCTGGGGACCCAGTTCAGGGGTGGGAACAGAGCTTGAGCCCTCAGGCAGATCGGGGCTGCTCCCGGGCACCCCTCCACGTGGGAAAACGAGAGGGCCGCACTGCTGTTCGCCGGTGGGCTCGTTCCGGGTGGGGTCCAATAAAGCACCTGACAAGCAGAAGAAAGCCTGGGCACAGCACGCGGGATCTACCTGGGTTCCTCTCCACGCTGGGGGGAGGAGGGGGCCTGGGGTCAGCGCCAGAGCCCTCATCCTTGTGGAGGCCTCTGTTTCTTGGGTCCCCCTGAGTGTGGCCGTAGGGGCGGTGGCCCTCTGGGGAAAACCTCACGGTTGGGGCACACCTGGCAGTGCTCAGGTTTGTGCTGGGTCTGCACTCAGGGGTCACTGCTGGGGGGCTTGCGGGACCATGTGGTTGGCCGGTGCCAGGCCAGCGCCCTCCTGGCTGTGTACGTGCCCACCTGCAGGCGGGCCCAGCTTCTCGCCAGCCAGGGCCACGGCACCAGACCTCGATGGGGACAGCTGCTACGGAGCAGACATGCTCCTGTGGGCCCTTGGAGGCCGGGCGCCAGGGGCTTCCGACAGCCTGCGCTGCTGTGCCCAAGACGCAGGTCCCCACCCTCTCTGGGCTCTGAACACGTGCACGGTCTTGAGATTCCCAGTGCGGCCCCGCACCCCTCCCCTCCAGCAGCATGCAGACCCTCAGGGCCGACCCCCACACCCTGCGCGCACACCGCACACACTGAGGGGGGCCTTGGTCTGTCACGTCTGTATCCTGCCCTCCCCTGTGCCGTGCTCTACAGAGTGCGTGTGTGCATGCGTGTGCTGATGTGCTCTTCTGTGCTCCCTGTGCACGTATGTGGGTGGGTGTGCTGGGAGGCCATTCCTTGTTAAGGTGGGAGCTGGCCTGTCTTCCCCGGCTCGGGCCCTGCCCCTCCACAGCAGCCCTTCGTCCCCTGCTGCTCTGCCACTTTGCCCCCCTGGCCCTGTTCTGACGCCCTGACGCCCCGAGGCCCGGTCAGCCCCACCCTCAGCGCTCATGTCCCTGTGGGCCCAGCGAGTTCTGTGGGGTCAGGGATGTGTCACCCCCACCCTGCTCTGGAGTGCCTCTGCTTATGCTGGAACTGAAGCATTCAGACCCCTCTTGGGGGGGAGGGGTCACATAATGTCAGCACTGCCTCTGGGATGGGGATGGCCCTCAAGGCAGGTCCGCGTGGACTTGCCTTCCTGGCCTCGTGTGTCACTAGATGCCCAGCAGGCAGCAGCTCTGCACTGCGGCCCTGAATCTTGGGGGAGTCGTTCTTGGGGCTGCTGGCGCAGCCAGCTATCTGCCATGCTGGGGGGCTGGTGGTGTCTGGGGCGGGATGGGACTCTGCCCGCCTCCCCCATGGGGGTGTGGCCACCATCCTGACCTGGCAGTTCTTGCGCTGTCCACAGGGAGGCGCCACACACAAACACATGCCCAGCCAAGTCGCTGCTGGCAGCTCTGCAATCGGGGGTGGCGGTGGACACAGATGTCCATCGCGAGGACCCCACCCCAGATCTCTGCTTCGTGCCCAGAAAGGGCAGGGCTGTGTCACCGAGCCCAGTGGGCAGCAGGGAAGCGACCAGCAACTGCCTCCTCCTCTCACCTTTGGGGTCTCCACGCCCAGAGGTGGTCAGCCTTTGACCTCGCACAGCCACAGGCAAGGGCCCCAGCAGAACTACTGGCCTTGGTACTGACCCCACTGTGGCCAGGGAGAGTTAACGGACCGGTCCACAGCAGGAGCCAGTGTGCCCGTCCAGGGGAACACAAGCTCTCCCCAGCCCACGGGTTCTGTGGGAATGAAATTGCTGTAATCTCCTGGCATCTGTCCACGCTGGCACAGGAGCTTCCGGTCCCTTGTGCCAGTGCGCTGGGCAGTCCCAGGAAGCAGCTCAGCACCTGAGGCCAGCACCCCATCCTCTGTTTCAGGGAACCTGCCGCTCCTCCTGGCCCCGCAGTGCTGTCCTCGCTCTTCCTGGCCTCTGCTGGCCTGCCCACGGGAGGGGCCCGGGGTGCCCTGTCGCCATCCAGACTCCGTCTCCCTCAGACTGGAGCTCTTGGGGTCCGAATGGGGGCAGGGGGCGCTAGGTGAGCAAGTCAGCAAACTCCAGGCGCCATCCAGGATCAGGTTGGTTTGGGGGAGTCGGTTCAGATCTGCAGGGTCCCCGGGGTCCTGCCTCACATGCCTGGGGGGACCGGGGACGCAGCCGGAGGCCCAGGAGGGTCTGGGAGAGCAGCCGAGGGTCTCCGCGCGCTGAGCTGCAGCCGGGAACACTCGCCAGCCCCACGGCCACCTGCGCTCAGGGCGTCTGCCAGGAGACGCGCGTGCCCGGCTCTCAGCAGCAAATATAGAAGAAAGCCGGGGCGGGGAAGGCGCTCGTACCCCCGCCAGCCCTGCTCAGATTTTGTTTCTGCTGCCCCCGCCCCCCACTGTGGTGGTTCCCCACAGCGAAGTGGCTTTTAATTTTTTAATTCATTCTTCATCAAAAATTCACTTTGGTACAGAGTGCATACAAAATTCAGAAGTTAGAAGGGTGTTGCCGCCCCTCCGCCCGCCCCCCCAGTTCCCTTCCTGGAAGGCCTCCGGCCCCCGCGTTCCTCCCGAGCTAATCAATGCGCATCTAAGTAGATGCCTGTTCTTTCATTCCTCAACACGCTCCGCTCCGCTTTCCCAGGCTCTGGGCGCGGGGGCAGGTGTTAAAGGGCGCGTGGTACGGGCTGCCCACCTGGCCTCCCCGCCCCGTAACACCATCGCCGTGGACATGGCCCGTTCCACGCAGGGCTGGCCCACTCGTGGGACGATGCTGGCAACCGCCATGATTCTTGATCCTTGCAGTTCTGTGTCCGTTAAAGACCCCGCGCGTTGGGGCGGGGGGTGGGGGGGCAGGGCAAGTGTCGCGCTTTTGTCCTCTCGCCAGTCTGACTGTCCACTGTCAGCCCTGCTGGCTTGCTCACCCTGGTAGGAAAGGGCCAACACTGACCCCCATCTCCTCCTCCCCTCCTCCCCACGCTCAGTGCTGGCCTAGGGCACGGCCCTCGTTTCCTGCTGGGCGCGGCCGATCCCCGTGTACTCTGACCATGTCAAGGGGACTGGCCTCATATCCAGTTACTTCCATGGGACTTTCTGTAGGGTTCTGTTTATGGGTTCAGGATCAAGGTTGGTTTTTTGTTGTTGTTGTTGAGTTTACTGTGATCACTTTTGTGTGTGTGTGTGTATGGGGGGGTGGGCATACCAGGTGATGCTCAGGGCTTACTCCTGGGCTGCATGGGCCCTCTGAGAATTTCTTGGGAGTCAGAGAATTTTCCAGGACTGTCCAGGGTCCCTGAAGGGTCAGGGAGTCGGGCTCTGGCCTCCCGCTGCAGGTGTGGGGGCCAGTGTGTGTGCATGCCTGCACGGATGTGGAGTGTGAGGGCATGTACATGCGATCACGTGTGCACAGATGTGAGTATGTGTGTTCTGTGTGTGAGTTCACATGTATAAATGTGTATGCGTGCTTGTATGTAGATGTATTTTTGTGAATATGTGTTTGCAGGTGTGGGTACGTGGGTACAGGCATGTACATGGGGAATATGACAGCTGGGCCAGGGGCACCTACACATAATCACGCGTGTACATGTGTGCGTTTTGGAGCCCAGATTCATTTCCAGCCTAATGCAGGCATGGTGTGAGGCAGAGCCTCCCTACCCCCTACCCCCAGGGCCTCTCTGGCAGCCTGGTCCAGTCCTTACTGTGCCGTGATGGGGCCTCTCTCACCCTTGAGAGTCCCCCTGGGATCAGGGTGCTTCTTCCGGTGAGTATGGGTGGGCTTATGTGTTTGAGAGCCTGGGGGCGGGGAGGGGTTGAGTTGCCTCAGGGCCTGTCCCCCTTCCCCCCTCCCCCCCCCCCCCCCCCCCCCCGCAGGCCCTGCCACCCACGACATCAGGGGATAACTTGATTTTCTGAGCTGGCTGAGGATCCCTCTCAAAATAGAATGCCCAGGGCCCCTGCATGGAGGCCGGCTGTCTGGGTCAGGCGGGTAATGAGGACTAACGAGGGCTGATGGGGGTTCATGGCCCCGAGCCGCCTGGCACAGGGGTGTGCGTGGGGGGTGGTGTCGCCAGCCTAATGCTCTCAGCCGGCAGATCCTTGCAGATAAGGGAGGGCAGAGCGCAGAGTGCAGCTCCGAGCAAGTAGCGGGTCCCGTAGGCCAGAGGCCCTGCATGGAACTTTCTAGAGGGTGCCTGGGCAGTAACCACCAGGCAGGGGCTTTGCCTCCCCAGGAAAGGAGGTCAGAGGGTCAGGGGGCGGTGTCCGGTACCGGCCCAGTGGGGTTCCAGACAGCCGGGAAAGGAGAAGGAGGGGGTGTGGGTTTGGCTGGGCAGGGGCGTGGGAGACTGCATGTACGTCCTCTCCGGCGTGGCCTCTGTCCCCGGAATTCCAAGTGTGGCCCCGTGAATGAGCGGATCTTACTGCCCCGGGAGAGGCCAAGAACGGGGCTGGTCAACCCCTCGCCAGCAGGCCCCTGGCTCCACCTTCCTGTGAAAACCAAGGGCTCGAGAAGCGGGAGACCCTCTGAGGCCGTTTGGGGGCTGGCCCCCGTGAGGCTTTGCTGCAGCTGCCTCTGGGGACCGCCAGGCTGTGCTCGCTTAGCGGTGGCCAAAATGGGTTTCTTGCTTCT